AGAGTGTTGTTCAGCATGGGGGTGAGTAGAAAATGAAGGCTAATCATGTTTTGGGTGTACTATTCCTTTAAACTGTTGTCACCCATTCCAGGTAGGCAATAAAAGTTCTACTGGATTCACTTTGTCTTAATGTTTTTTCCTGCTTCACAAAGGTAGGCAGCAGCTTGACATGAAGCCATGATGGCAATTATTTTATATCCAAGTAGTATGCAGCTCTATATATACACACACACATCAATTTCAAACAGATGGTATCGGTATCGGCCGATACTGTATCAGGGCCAAAAAATGGCGTCGGTGCAACACTTATTAAAACTCCTGTGGCTGATTTAAAACAATTATTTAAAGAAAAGTGAGCAAACATTCCTGCACGGCAATAAAAAACAGTCATTGTCAATTATTACATATCCTTCATGCCAATGTGGCACAACCAGTTATTAGGTTTAGAGGGTAATTACCTTGGAAAACATTTTTTTTTCTCCCAGCAAAGGAAACCATCCTTTAAACTCTTCATTGAGGCTCTCTTTGTCTCATATTTGATGACGACACATTTAACTGTAACATAAGAAACAAAAGAAACTGTCAGGAAACAGGAGCTTTTGTGCCATACTGTACGCCGCGGTCGGCTGAAGAAATCTGGGAAAGCTCATCTGCAGGGTTGTGTACAATATGGCTTTAATGTTTAGTTTCACAGGAAAAGAAAAGATTGTGATGGATGGTGCGGGTGGGTCGCGGAAATAATAATTCAGGTCGGCGTTTCTGCTTTACAATAAATCATAACTTTAATGTTAACCTGGGTGAAGTTTTTAACAGCTGAATAATCGGACGTTTTATGAGATTTGGGTTTCATTTAATTTTTTTCCTCCCCAGATTAAAATCACTGAACATTTAGGCTGTAAATGTTTTAAAAACTCGACTAAAATAAGCAAAGCAGACTGAGGTCTAAAGCTGTGGTTTAACTCTCTGATTGGGAGCTCATTTATGTGGTGGGCTTCCTGATAACAGAGACTCCCACTCTGACTGCTCTTGTCAGAGCTGTTTTATGCTGCAGACTGACGCAAAGCCTCCGTTTTCCTCCACAGCTGGGCCACGGGGGACTGGGGGCCCTGCAGCCGCTCATGTGGAGGAGGCCAACAGACCAGGGCGCTGCGCTGCATGAGGAAGGTGACCTACCAGAGGGAGGAGGTGGCGGCCCACTCCCTCTGTCCCGTTATCTCTCCGGCCCAAATCCAGCCGTGCCGCACCCAGGCCTGCCCGCCGGAGTGGAGCACGGGATCATGGTCACAGGTGGGTCTGATTCAGTCGCTGGAAATAACCGCCAGCGCCTGCTTTGCTGCATTCTATCTAAAGACAAATCTTACTTTTCTCCTTTATTTGCTTTGATAAAAAATGTTCATTTTCAGTTAATTGATTTTATTCATGATTAAAAGTTTCCCACACAACAATACAGAAACTCCCAAAACCATGTAGATTGAAACAAGAAGAGAAAAAAGCAACCGTAGAATATCCATCCATTCATTGTCTGACACGCTTTGTCCCAGCTGGGGTCACGAGGGGGGCTGGTGCCTCTCTCCAGCCTGGACAGGTTGCCAGTTCATCGCAGGGCAACACAGAGACAAACAGGACAAACAACCATTCACACTCACACCTAAGGAGAATTAAGAGAAGCCAATTAACCGA